ACTACATACTATACTACTAACTTCACTTTAAGTTTTTTTATCTCTTTTAAAAATGAGCAAAATGAGTAATATATTATAATTTATTTTATTTAAATATATATATTATAATAGACAAATAACTGAATATATTAAATTATTTTAGATAAATTTTCAGCATTTAATCTTAGCTTGAAGAAGACTGCGAAGAATTCTGAAAAGAAGTCAACCACTAAGAAGTTAAGCCTTGAATCTACTCATGGGACTGAATTAACTGAAAGCATCTATGATAAAGTCGACACACTTGAAATTGGACCGAGTGAAACTTCTCCATATTATGAAAATCTGAAAAGTTTTGAATATATGTAAAATAATTTAAGTTTATTTAGAATAATTTAAAATTATATGATAATTTAAACTATTTATATATAAGCACTTGCAAGATCTATTTCGAAGATTATTGAGAATCAAGGCAAGATACTTAAGGAAGTTAAGGATATTAGAGCGAAAGTCGGGAATATGGAAATTAGATTGAAAGATATTGAGAAAAAATTAGACAATAACTTCGATTTCTCCAATGATAAAACATTTAAAGAAGTAATTATTAAGATTCAATTTATCCTTTTAATATTATAATAATATATTTAGATAATTTAATATTTTAACGACACTACTATTCTGCACCTATGGTGTTCAACACTATAGGTCTCTATTTCTCAAAAACATACTAAGTAAACTGGATTGGGTATTCTAAGTAAAAATATTCAGAACCCCCAAAAACTTTACAAAACTAAAATTAGAAACTTATATCTAATATATATTATAATATATATATATATATAAATTATAAAAATGCATCCAATCCTAAATTTTATTAAAAACAATTATATATAGTGTTGAATACCATAGATGCATTTTATAATACCTGTATTTTAAATAACTTTAATATAATTTATTTATAGAATGTGATTAAAAGTGTATCTAAAGAAATTCTAACTAAAGCGATTTATCCCAATGATGAGCTAATCAGGACGAAATTAGATAGATATGTCAGGATTAATTATAAAGAAGATTACAAGAAAAATACACCGAATCAGTGGAATGCCTATTATATGAGAAACATCAATGGACCAGTAAAGCCTTTTTATTTAATTTATGTTTTATACGTTTCGAATTGTTTCGAAATATTTTATTTATTTCAAAACATTTCGATTTATTTTAAAATATTTTAATTTACTAATAACATCATTACTAGTTTTTGAAACAAATTAGATCTTTGCGTGGTTCACTAACAAGCAATATTAAGAAATATACCTTTTTTGTTTTTGGGAGTCTTTTAGATCCCATAAATAATTCGGCTTCATCAGAAGAGATTAGAGTTTGGAGGCGCTTGAAAAAGACTGAGGATTGTTATAAGATGATATTTAAAGAGATAGAAGAAGATTCTGGTGTACAAGCATGGTACAACTTCCCAGATGCCAAATTTAGAAATCCATATGTAAGTATAATGATACAGATGTAAACTAAAATAATTTTGTTTTTATTTATCTGTTATACTAAGATAATTTAAATTGTATCTGTTATACTAAGATAATTTCGATTGTTATGGTTAACAAGACTTTCGAATTTATTCTTTATAAGTCCCTTTTTGACGGTTAATGTCAGAGTGTGTACTTTTTTCGTGTTAGAGTTAGGATAGATTATAGAATACTTTCCTTTTTTTTTCGTGTTAAGGTTAGGATAGATTATAGAAACTTAACTTTTCTTTTCTTCCTACAACTTATTTTAACACCCATATATCACCCATATATCACATAATTACTATATATCCGAATCTTCAATAATCCCGCCGTTTTTTTTTTATGTATGAACATATTTACTGCCAATCAAAATGATTCTTAAATACATGAATTCGTCTAGAAACATTTTGTTTCTTTACTGTTTTATTTCATTATTATGTAATTTTACAGCTTATGGATATCGTACTCTTTATTCAAGCAGTAAAAATACTCTTCCTTTTAATAAATTTCATGTAAATTCAAGTTATGAAGGTGGTCTGGTATTTAAGGTTATCGATGATACCAACGTAAATCGTTATAAAAGTATTTATACTATATTACCAAATGGAACCACAATAGATATCAATTTTGATTTTCCAAATTATAGAAACATAAGCATTAGTCGCATATACCCTTTAACTATGAAACTTTATTTATTGCTTTATGATAATATTGTCATGGTAGCCAGCAAGTCACTGGAATGGTAATTGACTGGAATAGGCAAATCGTAAAAAAGTTTGTATTACATTACTGTTTCCTTTTTTAAAAAATTTTTTTTACCCGTATTTATTATATTTATATTTGAATAGTGATCTATTTGTAGTTAATGGGACCATTGAAAAGAATCCAAGTTTAAATCTGATTTTAGACACACGATTATATTCATTTTTAATTTATAGCCAGTCTCATTCAAACGTTGTTAGCTGGACTTTATATAATCTTCAGTAAGTAATGCACATATATATTATACGGTATATGACATTGAAAAGCTCTAATTTATATATTATGTTTAAATGTCAAATTTAACTACAAATTTTTAGGAAACAGGACAATATTGGTGTTATAGCTAGTAATTCTTTTAATTTGTCAGATTTTTCAACACTTGAATATGTATTTCCAATTGTTGATGGGAGCTATGGTTTCGTTATTTCAGATACAACAACTAACAGTATTACAGATGAGCTTCCAAATGTATATTTATATTATAGATTTTTATCACCCACAACTCTCAAAATTTCTGAAAATTTTTTGCTTTATTATGCGCGAAATAGTTCTATGTTATATGTTTCATGTTCACCAAGAGTGGAAATACATGTATGATGACTACAGAAGTCGATGTTAATAATATAGGCTCAACAATTATAACATATCAAATTGATTTCTTGTCATCTGGCTCTGTAGTTAATTTACAATCACGATACAAACAATTTCTAAGCACTAGTGATGGTCAAATTGATTTTAATATTAAGCAGTTATTTTATGGTGGGTCTATTATAACTAGTTGGACTTTTAAATGTGTTTATTCTGAATATGTGGCGGGTTTCACCTCACAAGCTGCTGGAGACTGTGAACCTAAAAATTTGACTGGATATATTATTCCGCCTGATGGCAATGAAGAACAATGGGATTTATTGCCGATTTCTTCATTTTCAAATGCTACATTTGATGTAATGAAAAACCAGACATATATGGACATTTAATACTGACATACGTAAGTAAATTTTAATATTTGGTATTATATTACAAAGCCTGTAATTAATATAGTATACTACATTAATCGATGTATAGAAACAAAACCAGAAATGCATTCAGGTATAGTATTATGTATTGATAGTATGATTATTATATAATTGTAATGCTTACGGTATATTTTTTATAAATTTCAAAGATAGTGCTGTAGTTGTTGTACGTCTAACTCATGATGGGACAATTATATATGATTCTCTTTCATCATCAAATAAATCTTTATTTTTAAGTGACCTACAAAATGAAATTATTGAAAGCATTCCTACAACTTCAGATAGATTACATTTAACAAATCGAATCCAATATGATCCATCAACATCATCTTCTCAATATTTATTGCAAATTGAAGTTTTAGCTCCTAACGATAATTATCAGACACCTGTTTATCAAATAATCAATGATATGGATACATTAATAAGAGAAAAGGATACTTCAATTATGTCAATGAACAATCATACGAAATATTTAGATTCTTCATATGGTGTTACAGTAAATCGTAAGTTGTTTTAAATTTATACTCAATATATATATATATATTTAAAAAAAACTTTATAATATAATTTTATTTATTTTAAGTCAATTTTTGGGATGAAATGAAATTTAAATTACTCGGAGTATTGAGTGGATTTGCTGTTTTAAGTATAATTGCTTTAATTGCTTGTTGCAAATGTCGAGAGGTAAATCTATTAATTTTATTATTTTTGTTTAAACGGGAATACCAATTCTTAATTATTTAAATATATATGTAGGGTTGCTTTACGATATTTAGTATAACATTTATTTTATCCGATTTAATTATGGATATTTTATTTGTTGTTAAAAACGGAAATGACGTTCCTTGGTTATATAAGCCCAGGTATTATATAAAATTATTAAAAATTAATTACATAAATCAGTTATGAATAATAATACTAACTTTAAAATCTTTTAATTTTTAAATTAAACTTTAAAGCATTTTTATATTAACTTTATCGGTATTATTCAATTTGGTTGCGGCTATTAAGCTTATTACTTCTGAATTGCGACATAAAAATTTTTCTGAATGGTTTGATAAAAATACAAAAGTTGTTTCAATATTTACTATACTTTCGATAGCAGATATTGCATTATTAGAATGTTTAACTTCAAATTTTGGTGGATTTCAATTCTTTAATGCTCCATTTTCTGACAATATTAAAAATCAAATATTCTGGGGAACTACGATTAATGTTTTTATAGAAAATATTACTCAATTTGTTATACAGGTTCGTTACATAAATTTATAAGCTATTAAAAAAAATTCATATTCACTAAATTATAAAATAGTTTTGTAGATTTTATACTACCTTAATACAGTTAAATACGAAGCTATTCCTTTTTTAACGTTGGTAACTGGATCTATTGTTTTGTTAAACGATATTATTCTAAAATTATTTAAATCTATAGTAATACGTATACATAAAAATTAACTATGTATTTTTAATGGCGAGGTTTAATCAGAATTTAAAATATGATTATTGTTTATTGAATATCCGGGTCAACGTTAGAATTGATCTGGAATTAGAGTATACTTAGTTATTATAAAAATTTTTTTACCGGGCATAAAAGATGGTTTCATAGACAAAAATTCATAACTTTTTAAAACATTTTAATATTTTTTGTTTCATATCACACCTAATTTTGCAATATACAGTCAAACCCCATAATGCAACTGTAGGACCAGACTTTCAACAGCTTACATTTAGAGAACAAAATTTGGGCCAGAGTTAAATGTTGCATTTAAAGAGGTATTGCATTTCGAGTTGTTGAATTTTAGAGAGACCCGACTTCTGTATTTAATTTCAAAATTTGTACCAAGTTATATATTACAAAACATTGCTAGTATAACGAATAAAGTTGAATTTTATTATAAAAAAACTTTTTGAACATTAAATTAAAAGCTATTTAGAGAGTGTATTTTTAAAAAAAATTAGATTATAAAAACAATAAATATTGTATATTTTTTTAATTATTCTTGAATATAAGAAACCATCATTATAAGATAATCTCACACCGAAGCTGTTGCTATGTTACTCGATTAAATAACACGAATTATATAACAATTATCCATAAATGGCATCCGGAAAAGTGCTAAATTTTATTGCGATTTGTAGAACAAATTATTATTTATTATATATTATTTATAAATTGTTTTATTGTACTAAGTACTACTCTGATTATTTCTATTTAAGAAAAAATTTTTTTTAAAATTAAAAATAGACAGTGTCCATTAACAACGATCTTTTAATATTGGCGAAAATCTAATTTATTAAAATGGACTCTTTATATATATTAATCACCTGTCGCACTAAGTGTCACTCATGGCTGCCTTCATTATTATTTTTTACACGTGATTAACCATAATTATAATAATCATATTGTGACTGGGAATCCTCCCATGAAAGATTCCCGGTCTCATATTGATCATCGAGAAACTCTAATTTTTTATGCTTAATTTTTATTTGAAGAATTTCTTTTTTGTATGTTTCACGTTTTATATAAAGAACTTCAAAAGACAAAGTAAATAAGCACAGTAAAATGAAGCTAAAAAAAGACAAGATAAGAGCAAAGCGAAAGTAAAGGCTTGAAAAAAGTTAAACGTAGGAGTAAAAAACAAAGACGATAAAAAAGTAAACCAGTAAAAATGATGTAAATAAAAAATAAAGCGAAGCCCAAAAGTCAGTAAAGCACAATACAGTATAAAATAATAGTATGGTGGTCCGAGTGACACGCTCCTGGGGATTATTCAATTATTTCCTGGGGAAATAAATAATACTAATATAATGTAGATTGGATCTAAGGTCCCGATTTTAGTTCTCGTGAGGTTTTCAGGGTCCTGAACATTTTTTCCTAGAGAACCCGATCCCGTTTACTTATTACGTACGTTTTTGAGATACGTATTGGTTATTATTGTGAGAAATTTGAGCTTTCTATATTAAACCTTATCTGCTTCCACGTATTCTGTGTTTTGGCTACCATACCATAGCAAACCAACACATACATAGACTGACGTACAGTATTTTGTGTTTTTTTTTTTTTTTTGCCATCTGTCGCGCGTCTATTGTTAGCCGCAGAATTATGAAAACACGTGATGGTCATTAGGTGGGCGCAGAATCTAATTAACGTTTATGGAGATCATTTGTCATAAGTAGGTTTCACGGTCGTAAAAGTCGTAAAAGTCGTATGGGACCTTTGATGATTAAAAGCATTATCGGAGCCTTAGTAATTAAAATCAGTATAAGTATTATAGTTAATATCAGTGATATAACACTGATAAAATGTATAGTTCGTCTTAAGTAAAAGAAAGTATATAATAAAGGCTTCTCGCCCTTGAGGGAGTATATCCTTTTGCGATTCAAATAAAATTCGTCTCCTATTAATTCCATACCTTCGATATTCGCTAAATAAAAAAATACCTTAATCCCGATTGACTACTTAAGTGGCATAAGTAGTGCCATCGTTGATTCTTGCGCACGTGATACAGTAAAGTGTACCGAAACTCTGTCCGGTTGATTCTCAACGGACTGAGGACTTCCGTGGTTGTTACTTTCCAACTTTATCGACGTATTTAGTTAGTTGTAGTTGTTTTCCAGTTTCCGTAACGGACTGTGGAATCTGTGGTTTGTTAATTCCGGTTTAGAGCTCAAGCGGAAGAACTCAAGCCGTGGTTTTGAATAGTTGACAACATACGTACTAGTGTGTTATAAACCAAATCCTGCATAAGTTTCAAAGAGAATACCTACGTCCAAAATCACCCTCGTCCAAATCTAAACGCCTCATTTCGACTAAGCCAAACGTAGGTTACACAAGGCTTCGGATTGTCAAGCGACCGACTCGCCGTTTTAGGTCGTCACTATATTTGTTGCACATTTATGATATAATTCATATTAGCCCCTATTTCTACAAGTGAGACCATCCCAAATGGGCAAATTAGGAAACCGGGTCCGATATAGTTACGTACGTACGTACGTACGTAATTTATTGAAAATCTTTTTATTCATTTGTGCTACTAATGTTCGTAATTTAATACGTTATCTGGTAAACCCATGTATAAAAATATGGTATTTACTATTATGGTCAATTTTTAGAGACTAAATTTTAACGTTCAGGTTTTCACTCTCAGTCACTCAAGTCACTGATATAAATAAATTTTTTTTTGCCAAAAAACATAAAGAAAAAAACGTGCTGTAACAAAAATTGTAACAAAGTTGAAGCTTCAAAAAGAAGTCTTATCACACCAGGCATTTCTTGAAAAGGTGCGTCTTAATTTCATTAACAATATTTTTAAACTTTTAGATTCAAATGATTTTGCGGTCAATAGTAATTTTGCCATAGAATGGCAAAGATCTTACGGTTGTAAAGAGGATTTTGATTTCTTGTATGCTGCAAACACAAGCTATTCAAAAAAATAGGCCTCAACGCGTTGAAAGAATTTTTCCGCTGCAAGCTTACAATATATTTTTGAGCTATAGGAACATAATTATAAATCTTGCGATGAAAATATTTTATAACGTTTATCAATACAGCAATAAGGCCACGCAAAGTTGATTTTTGGTTTTGCATTACATGGATTTCAAAATTAGGGACAGACGGACGGATTTTTTTTTTTAAATTCAATTTACTGTAAATAGAATAATGATCACATTTAAGGTTATATTTGCACAACAAGGAATCAAAAAATTGGGCCGGCAGTCATATTTTCCTGTCAGTCCTATCGGACAATTACGGGAAATTAAGGTCTCCATCGGGTGATACCAGAAAATAGCGGGAAAAAATGGATGTCAAAAATTGAACAATTGGCATAATTGGGATCTAAAAAAAAAAAAAAAAATCTTTTTGAAAAATTGAAAAAATGGGACGACGGGTAATGCAAACCAAAAAATCAACTTTGCGTTATCTAACCTCTAATACTTTTAAATCTTTAACTTGTATGCATACAATTCGAGAAGAGAAATATTTGATAAAGGTTTTAAAATTTGGGCGGAGTGTTACAGAAAAGAGGGAAATCGACAAATTATCAATTTTTTTTTACACAAAACGATTTAGAATAAGATAAGAATCATTTTTACTTAAACTCAAAGGAGTTCTATTAATAAAGTTTTGTAATATAGCTCTATATTTTCTAACATAAAAATTGATCTTCCGAAGATCTTTTGTTTTGTTGATTTCCCCCTTTTCTGTAGCACCTAGCCATTTTATCAAATATATTTTTTGTGCTACTCTTTTTTATTTATTTATCTAAAATCTATTAATAGTAAAATTACTATGATTGTATATTATGAAGATCCCGAGGTAGGTTGTCTTTTTGGATCTGTATTCATGGGATTCCCTTATGTCAAGAAAATCCCGGGCTAAGGATCTACAAAAATTAGGCTCGGAGCCAATAAAAATTGCAG